CTTTTTCCAGTGATGGAAATATTCTGGAATTTGACAGTGGTGCTGGTGGCACAATATCATGAATATACTAAAAACCACTGAATTATACACTTTAAAATTGTGAATTTTATGTTATGTGAATTACATCTTAATTTAAAATTTTAAAATTCTAAAGCAAGATGTAGGAGGAAGAGGTTGTGGGAGGGGAGGAGGAGGAGGAGAAGGAAGAGTCAGAGAAAAGGAAAGGAAAGAAAGAAGAGGAAGAATAAGAACCCATTAACCTTAAAGAGATTTCAAGATGGCAGTAGAGTAGATGGAAGCTATGCTCACCTCCTCCCACGAACAAACTGTAATTACAACTAAATTAAAGAAAAATCATCCTGAATCACCAACTGAAGGCTAGCTGAAGAGGAATAAACAAGGATTTACAGAAGAAGCCACATCGAGACTAGTAGGAAGGGCAGAGACGCAAAAAAGGCTGGCTCTGCTCCCACAGGTGGAGGCTGAAGTTCTCTCCACTGTGAAGGATTCCCCTCAGAAGCATGGGGCCTAAACCCCAAGCTGGGCTCACAGCCCAGAGCATCAGAGCTGGGAAGAGGCACTCACATAACATCCAGCTGTGAAAAGCTGCAGGATTTCTGTCTGCCAGGGAGAGACAGAGTCCAGCTGTAGACACAGGCACCCTCATAAAGGGCCAATGCCCAATATTTGGTTCACAGCCACTCACCCTGGGCTCTAGGGGAGGAAGGGTGGAGTGAACTAGAGTTTTATGAGGAAATTGGGGCTTGTGGTTCTGGGAGAAAGCTGAAGGGAAAGCTGCCAGGATCTCTGTGCTGAGTCATTCTTCCATGCCATCTTTCTTGGGTGGAGCACTCCCTTTTGTGTGACATGGGGGGGGCGGGGAGAAAGGAGGATGACCAATTGCCCCACCCTCTAGAATGCCTCTCACCCCACACTGTGGAGTTTAGGCCCTGCCTTGAGTCAGCTGCCTTGGCCAGGGTGTAGAGGTCTAGGCAGACTCAGGGGGTGTCAGTGACTGAGTTGTCTGGCTTTGAGGTAGGGACTATTCCCACCACTTTCCCTGTGAACCTGACTGGCACTTCCTTCTCAATGGAAGATCAGTTAAAACCACCCTCCCAGCTTCCGGCAGACTCAACCTCCCTGCTTCAGAGGCCCCACCAGCCCCCACGCACACGATTCTTAGTGGCTTCACCCTGCCAAGGTTGGAGCAAAATCTGAGACAGAGTCTTGTGGCTCTGGGGTGAAAACTACACCCACCCCCTCCCCTTCCCGGGAGGTGCACTAGCCCCATCCTCCCTACTCTGCCAGAGGCTCTTTCAGTGACTAAGCCCAATAGGCAGCCAGCAGGGGTAGGCAGGCCGTGGTGGGTCTCAGGGTGCCTTTGGACTTGTGCCTACCTGTCCCGGGCCTAGTGCTGAAACAAGCTGGCCTTGGTGTGCAGCTTGGTCCTTTCGGCCTGCACCCAAGCCCAACGGAAGCAACCACAAACTAGATCCCTTGAAACTCCAAACAGGTTGCTGAGGGCCAGGCACAGACAGCATCTGACACTGGCCTACACAAGAGTCCCTCCCAAGAGGCCCAGGACCAATACACCCAGTGGCCAGCTTCAGACAACATCAAAGCAGAATCCAATAAGCTTCCCAAACAGCATATCCAACGGGAGATCTTGGCATGATGGTTCCCTTTGCTCCACATCCTCACCAACACGTATTATTTGTTGACTTGATAATAGCCATTCTGACTGGTGTGAGGTAGTATCTCATTATGGTTTTGATTTGCATTTCCCTGATGATTAGTGATGTTGAGCATCTTTTCATATGTCTGTTGGCTATCTGTATGTCCTCTTTGGACAAATGTCTTTTCATGTCCCCTCCCCATTTTTTTATCGTAGTGAATTTTTGTTGTTGTTATTGAGTTGCATGAGTTTCTTATATATTTATATCAACTCCTTATCAGACATATCATTTGCAAATAAATTCTCCCAGTCAGTAGTTTGCTTTTTTGTTTTGTTGAAGGTTTTGTTTTCTTCACTCAGGGAGTGTCAGGAAGGGCAAAGGACAGCATCTTTTTAGTTTGATGTAGTTCCATTTGCTTAGTTTTTCTTTTGTTTTCCTTGCTCAAGGGGATGTGTTCAAAAGATATTACTCAGACTGATGTCAGCTAGTTTACTTCCTTTGTTTTCTTCTATGAGTTTTATGGTTTTAGGCCTTACATCTAAGTTGTTAGCCCATTTTGAGTTTATTTTGTTTATGGTATAAGAATGAGTTTCTTTCTTCTTTCTTTCTCTTTCTTTCTTTCTTTCTTTCTTTTCTTTCTTTCTTTCTTTCTTTCTCTTTCTTCCTTCCTTTCTTCCTTCCTTTCTTTCTTCTTTTCTTTCTTTCTTCTTTCTTTTTTGCATGTATCTGTCCAGTTTTCCCAACACCACTTGTTTAAAAGACTGTCATTACTTCAGTGTTTAGATTAGTGACCTTTGTCATAGATTGGCTGACCATAAAAGTGAGGACTTATTTCTAGGATTGTTATTCTGTTCCATTGATCTATGTGTCTGTTTTTGTGCTAGTACAACACTATTTTGATTACTATAGGTTTGTAGTATAGTTTGAGATCAGGAAGATTGATACCTCCAACTTTGTTCTTCTTTTTCAATATTGCTTTGGCTATTCAGGAACTTTTATGGTTCCATATAAATTTTGGATTACTTTTGAGAAAAATGACATTGGTATTTTGATAGAAATTGTACTGAATCTATAAATAGTTTTCGGTGATATGGTCATTTTAACAATATTAGTCCTTTTTTATCTAAGAACACAGTATATCCTCCCATTTATTATTTGCATCCTCTTCAATTTTTTCTTCAGTGTCTCATAGTTTTATAGAGGTCTTTCATCTCCTTGGTTAAGTTTATTCCTATTTTATCCTTTTTGATGAAGTTTTTTTTTCCCATTTCTCCTTCTGATTGTTGGTTATAAGTATATTGGAACACCACAGATTTCTATATATTAATTTTGTATCCTGCTTCTTTACCGAATTTTAAAAAATAGTTTTGTTTATTTTTGGCAAGAAAGGAAGTGAGAGGGATAGAGAAACAGAAACATCAATGAGAGAGAAATATTATCCACTGACTGCTTCCTGCACACCACTACTGGGGATCGTGCCCCAAACCCGGGCATGTGCCCTGATCAGGAATCCAACCGATGACCTCCCTGTTCATTGGTCAGTGCTCAACACTGAGCCACAATGGCTGGGCTTTACCAAATTCTTTTATTAATTCTATTAATTTTTTGATTAAGCCACCTTGTTTTTGGTACTTTGTTGTGGCAGTCCTAGGAAACT